AAAACCCTTGCCAAAATGGGGATAGAAGGTACTTTCCTCAACATAGTTAAAGCCATCTATCATAAGCCTACAGCAAGCTTCATCCTCAATGGGGAAAAACTGAGAGCCTTCGCCCTAAGATCAGGGACAAGACAAGGATGCCGACTCTCTCCACTGCTGTTCAATATAGTACTGAAGTACTTGCAATAGCATTTAGGCAAGAAAAAGATATTAAGGGCATCCAGGTAGGAAAATAATTCAAGCTCTCACTATTCGTAGATGATATGATACTATACTTAAAGAACCCTAAAATCTCTACCAAGAAACTCCTAGAAACAATAAACTTGTACAGTAAAGTTGCAGGCTATAAAATCAATACCCAAAAGTCTATGACTTTCCTATACGCAAACAGTGAGAGAGGAGAAAGTGACATGAAAAAAAAACAATCCCGTTCACAATTGTGCCCCAGAAAATCAACTATCTAGGAATTAGCTTAACTAAGAAAGTAAAGGACCTGTACAAAGAAAACTACAAAACGCTACTTCAGGAAATAAAAGAGGACACGAGGAAATGGAAAGATATCCCCTGCTCATGGATCAGGGGAATTAACATTGTCAAAATGGCAATACTTCCCAAATTATTGTACAAATTCAATGCGATCCCTATAACGATACTCATGACATTCTTCAAAGAAATGGAGCAAACACTCCTGAAATTCATATGGAAGAATAAGCACCCACGAATAGCTAAAGCAATTCTTTGGAAGAAGGAAATGGGAGGAATCAACCTCCCTAACTTTAAGCTCTACTACAAAACAGTAATATTTAAAACAGCATGGTACTGGAACAAAGGCAGAGCCGCAGACCAATGGAACAGGGTTGAATATACTGATATCTCTCCCCCAAGCATAAATCATCTAATCTTTGATAAGGGAGCAAAAGATGTTAAGTGGAGCAAGGAAAGCCTCTTTAACAAAGTGTGCTGGCAAAACTGGACAGCTACATGCAAAAAAACTGGGCTCAGGTCTTTGCCTAACACCATGTACAAAAGTAAGATGAAAATGGATTAAAGACCTCAACATCAGACCAGAATCTATAAGGTACATTGAAGACAAAGTTGGAAAAACCCTCCATGACATTGAAGCTAATGGTATCTTCAAAGATGTCACACCACTGGCCAAGCAAGTGAAAACAGAGATAGACAAATGGGACTATCTTAAACTAAGAAGCTTCTGCACTTCATAAGAAACACTGACCAAAATATAAAGAGAGTGTATAGAATGGGAAAGGATATTTGTCCAGAGGCAGCTTAGTTTGTTTCTGCATTGAGTCCTGTCGAGTGGGAAGGCGTATGCATTGACCAATGGTGATCTGACCTGGAAAAGCTCAAATAACTGAGGAATTGCAAAAGTGGATGGACCTTGGGAAGTGCCTGTTTCCACATCTCCAATAGTGGTCAGGAAGAGAGCTGACAAAAGAAAAAAAATGGCAATGCCCTCCAGAAAAGAAGGAGATTTAGGACCTTTAGTGGATGACACAATAACTGAAGTGGGTGTGGGACTGGCTTCCAGTAGCTGTCACACCATAAAGCCCACAGTCCTACTTATGCATGTGCCACCAGCATCACTTAAAGTTGTGCTTTCTTGCCAACTGTGCTGTGGAGCATTGCTATAGGACTCTGGCTGAAGTTTCCACCATTTGCTCAAGGTAAGCAGCCAATTAAAACAGCAAATTACTGCACATGGATAGATGTAATCCAGAACTTGGAGCCAGAACAAGTCTTGACTCAGACACTTTTGAAGCTATGACTCAGAGACTTTGGTTTCTTTGACTGCAGAAAGAATGGTCTGTACTAGGAAATTTCTGCAATTGCTTTCATTTGAGACGAAATAGTATATAGTAATGGATCTATAGTAGAAATAGAGAAAAAATTTGAAATACACAGAGAAAAGTGAAAAAAAGATACTCTCCACAGGTCTGACATGCAGTGAATAATTACTGGCCATTTCAGGATATATTGTTCCATATTTTTATGTTTATGTTATATATAAACTACTTTTTGATAATTTATTATTTTAAAATTGACATAAGCATAATGTTATTATTAGTTAAAATTATTTCTATGATGTAATAACATTAATCATTAATATTTAATATTTTAATTAAAGTGGTCATGGTCCTCCCGTTGTTCATCAATTTGCTTGAGCAGGCCCAGTAACGTCTCCATCATGAGACCTGTTGTTACTGTGTTTGGCATATCGAATACGTCACGGGTAGCTTGCCAGGCTCTGCTGTGCGGGCGAGATACTCTCGGTAGCTTGTCGGGCTCTCCAAGAGGGCCGGAGGAATCGAACTCGGGTCGGCCATGTTAGCCGCTTGTAAGGCAAATGCCCTACCGCTGTGCTATCGCTCCAGCCCAATATTTTAATTATTATATTTTAATATATTTTATATATACAAATATATTTAATATTATAATATATAAAATATTTTAAAAATATATCTAATATATAGGAAATATATAAAATATAAAAGTTAAAAATTTATATATATTTAAAATATTATAATAATTTTATCTGCACTGCACTGCACTGTCCTCCCATTGTTCATTGATTTGCTTGAGTGGGCACCAGAAAAATCTCCATTGTGAGACTTGTTACTTTTTTTGGCATATTGAATACGCCATGGGTAGCTTGCCAGGCTCTGCCATGCAGGCGGGATACTCTTCGTAGCTTGTCGGGCTCTCCAAGAGGGACGGAGGAATCGAACTAGGTTCAGTCGCATGCAAGGTAAATGTCCTACCGCTGTGCTATTGCTCCAGCCCAATAATTTTATAGTATCACTATAACACCATCATTCCACTGTTCATCAATTTGCTCGAGCGGACACCAGTAACGTCTCTATTGTGAGACTTGTTTTTACTATTTTTGACATATTGAATATGCCACAGGGAGCTTCCTAGGCTCTGCCATGCGAGTGGGATACTCTCGGTAGCTTGCTGGGCTCTCCGAGAGGGAGGGAGGAATCAAACCCCAATTGTCTGCCTACAAGGCAAATGCCCTACCCACTGTGCTATCTCTCCAGCCCTATTAATTATTAATATAACAATAATAACAATCACAGGTATCCTATTACACAATGTGATGAGCCCTTTATTCACAGAAATGAAAATTTCCTATTTTATTTGTAGAACACTGCTAGAAGGAGTGAGCTTTAACTGAATCTCTTCTGTGTAAACTTGAGTGTTTTCCCAACAGCTTTTGAAAGCAGGTAGGACACAGACAATTTGAAATTTTAAAAAAGAAAAAAATATAGTACCACATGCTCCTCCACGAAGAATGAATGAGTCTTATTCACTGAGTCTACCAGAAGTAGATGAGGGAACCCGCGTTCCCATACACAACACTGGCTACTAGAACTCTGTCACTTGCCATTTTATGAGGAAATTTATGTAGCATTTATTGTTTTAATTTCTATTAGTATGGTCACTGGAAGGTAGCCTTTTTCTTTGTGCTCATCATGGCTACTATTTATTTCACTCTACCATTCATTTACTTGCCTCAGGGAGAGCTTGAGGGCTGGGACTCCACTCCTTTCTTATGATACTCAGAGAACTGAGCAGGAGGGTTCAGTGCCACTTGGTAGTACCTGTGAACTACTAAGTCCACTTCCAGCACTGTGTGGGGGCCTCCTAGGCTACAGCAGGTGATGCTCTGGGGTCCATGTGGTGCTGGGGTTCAAATTGGGCTCTTGTGATTATGAAGCACGTGTCTCTGACCTTTGAGCTATCTTCCCGCATACTTTATTGAGGAGTGCTTTTCATGAGAAGGACATTAATCATTTATGTGTCATCTATTTTATTAGTGCTTCCCCATTCCAGGTTAGGTTATTGTTTGTTTTAAGATGTTGCCTGTGATTTTTTTTATTCTCTTTGAAATAAGTCGATTTAAGGTTTATTACTTATATTTAAAGATGTTTCAAAATGTTTTATGACTCTGGTACCAAGGCATTCTTTAATCCATGATTATAAAACTATTAATTCATGTACAGTTTTTTATAACTAGACATTCTAATAATTAACATCTAAAATGGACCTTTATTATTTTGAATCTTATTCCTAAATTTCCAACTGTCACTTTTATAGCATTAGCGTTCACATTCAGATTTCACTTTTACCTAATAGAGAAAAAAAAGTCTTTTCCTACCCTTCTTAATTTCTTTTAGATCACACCTGGGAATGCTCAGGGTCATCCCTAGCTCTGCAATCAAGAATTACTCCTGGCAATGCACAAGGGATCATATAGGATGCCAGGTCGGCCGTGTGTAAGGCAAATGCCTTACCCACCGTACTCCCTTTCCTGCCCTACTTACACTCCATTCTATACCAGAAAATACCACCATTTAATCACATCTGTCTCACTTGTCTATGTCAATGGGCAAAGTGCCTCACTTGTTCTTTCAAATTCTACTCCCTTGAAAAATAATCTTAAGGATTTTCTCTCTTATCTATACCTTGAATGACGCCTTTCAAGGGCTTTTAATCTCTCAGTTTATACATTTCTATCATTCTTCTGTTCATAAAGACCTTTGCACCCCTCCACATTTCCTATCAGTTGGCTCAGTTTTTTCTTTCTTTTGAAATCTTGTTTTTAGGAGGATCAGTCTATTCAGCTGTCTCTTCCCTGTGGGCTGGAGACATTTGATTTGATCCCAGGATTCTCTATCACAACCACGCTCTTTTAATTTCTGGGGGGAGGCATACCAGCTGTGCTCAGGGGACTATATGGGTGCTGGAGATAAAACCTGGGTCGGACGCATACAAAGCTAATGCTTTGTACTAGTTCTCTGGCCCAACAACCATTCCCTTGAATGTTACACATATCTCTTAGTTGCAAACACTAAAGACATTTTTAAATGTTTTTTCTACCTCTTCTGTCTTTATTATTTGTTATTGTTGACCATGCCTTTCCTAAATTTGTCTGTTGACATGATGACAACTTTCACCCGCCCCCTTCTTGTTACCTCTATTAGGGTAATCTTTCGGCTGTTTTGCTCATTCTTCTTCACCTGCTTGTCATGGTGCTCACAGCTCTGTTTTTTGCTCACTTCAGAACTTCGGGAGGGAAAGATCAGAAGGAAGGAGGTAGTAAGAAAGATGCTGCAATAGTTCAGATGAGGTTCTGATCTAGGGAAGTGGTAACAGGAATGGAAAGGGGAGATAAATGAAAGGGGAGGATTTGAAAGAAAAAAATCTGACAACCCATATGAGTGATTACATATGGAGACGAGAGACTATTACTCAAAACAATGCAGAGACATGATTTTTTTCCCCCCAGAGATACAAACTTTTAATTGGTTGGAATCATTCTTAAACATGAGAAGGGACATACATAAAACAAAATTTACTTCTCAGAAAAATATTAGATACAGTGAAAAATCTTAGTTGTTTTAAATCAAATTAGTAGAAAAAAGTATAAGTGTGTGTGTGTGTGTATGTGCGTATTTCAAATAATACAGGAGATTCTATAATGATAAAGAAGTGGAGGAAGTTTATGTATAAGAAAAATTGATATTTCTATAGAATGGCAAATGCAGCTTTTAAAATAGTTCAATATTTATAAAAAATCAAATGATATTTTGTGTCTGAGTGATAGCAATGCAAATTATGTTAAGAGAAAGAAAATACAAAAGCAGTGACAAATTAAAAGAAAAAAAGCAGTGACAAATTGGAAAATAGAAGACTATTTTCTAGGATTCCCAAATTGGTAGGAAGCATTAAACAGAGCTTGAAAAAACTGTAAGGCTTGAACAGAAACTGCTATGAAATCAAGTGTTCTCTCAAAATTCACAAGTTGGTATCATAACCTTCAAAATGAATATCTTTGGAAATAGGGCCTTGAGGGAGATAATAAGGTCAAAAGAGGTCTTGAAGGTGAGGTTCTAATTCAGAGAATCACTGATTTTCTTCCAAGAAAAGGAAGAGGCACCAGATCTTTTTCTTTCCTCATACATATGAAAATGATGCAGCAAAAATGGTGCCACCTGCAAGCCAGAAAGAAACCTCATCAGAAATCAACACTGCTGGAACCTTGATTCTGAATATGAACTTGATTTAGATCTGGAATGAAGACCTAAGAAAAAATAATTTAGGGTCAGATTGACAGTACACGGGAAAGGCACTTGCCTTGCCTGTAAGAGACACTGGGTTTGTTCCCTGATACTACATATGTTCTTTGAGTGCTGTCAGGGGTCAATTCTGAGTACAGAGTCAGAAATAGCTCCTAAAGTTAGCAAAATTTTCTCTCATTCACTAAAAAGGGGGAAAATTAATTCAATTTTAAGTCACCTAGCCTGTAATTGTAATGACAGCTTGAGAGGAATAACTCAATATATGAGCACAAAGAAGTCAAATAAACGAGAAGGAAAACATTAGGATTACAAAGTAGCACTGTAGCACTGTCCTGTTCATTGATTTACTCCAGCGGGCCCTAACATTGTGAGACTTGTTGTTACTGTGTTTGTCATATTGAATATGTTACTGGGAGAAGTACACTGAAAGTAGACTATAGACCAAACATGACTGCCACTCAATGCCTCTTTTGCAAACCACAACACCCAAAAGGAGAGAGAGAACAAAAGGGAATGCCCTGCCACAGAGGCGGGGGGGGGGGGGGGTGGGATGGGGGGATGGGGGGTAGGAGGGATACTGGGATCCGTGGTGGTAAAAAATGGGCACTGGTGGAGGGATGGGTATTTGATCATTGTATAATTGAAACCCAAGCACAAAAATGTGTAAGTCTACAACTGTACCTCATGGTGTTTCACTAATAAAGGTAAAGGTAAAGGTAAAGGCCCTCCCGTTGATCGTTGATTTGCTCGAGTGGGCCCAGTAACGTCTCCATTGGAGACTTTGTTGTTACTGTGTCTGGCATATCGAATACTCTCGGTAGCTTGCCAGGCTCTCCGAGAGGGGCGGAGGAATCGAACTCGGGTCGGCCATGTTGGCCACGTGTAAGGCGAACACCCTACCCGCTGTGGAGCGATAGCACAGCGGGTAGGGCGTCTGCCTTGCACGCAGCCAACATGGCCGACTCACTAATAAAAATAAAAAAAAAAAAACGAATATGTCACGGCTAGCTTGCCAGGCTTTGCCGTGTGGGCGAGATACTTTTGGTAGCTTGCCAGGCTGACTGAGAGGGGTGGAGGAATTGAACTCACATCAGCTGCATGCAAGGCAAATGTTTTACCCGCTTGTAATAATAATAATTTTTAGTAGCACTGTCCTTCCGTTGATCATCAATTTGCTTGAGTGGGCACCAGTAATGTCTCACAACAAATTTTGAGACTTATTGTTATAGTTTTTGGCATATCGGATACATCATGGGTAGCTTACCAGGCTGATGAGAGTGAAAGGAAAGTTGAACTCTGAAAAAATGCCTGCGAATTCAATTTTGGTTAAAGTCCATCCTTCCCCACTTTGTGGGTGGACATCATTGAAAGACAATGAAGTTTTCCTTGTATTATGAAACTAAGAATATTAAGGAGTAGGGGGAATCATTGGGGGACAAGAAATAAATGGATTTAAACTAATGTGATGACAGTTGGAGATGATCTTGGGAACTTCGGTGATGGTGAAGTTGTAGTGACTTTGTACATCAAAGCCATAAACATGAACACTTCAGTATTACATCACCTAAATTACAACAGTACATTTTCAATGAGAAAAAGTTTTAGCAAGGGCATAACACTCACTGTTATAGAGCATATGGTAGGGGTTTTCTCCTCTGAGGCAATTTTTCCTCATTAAAAAATTGGAGTCGAGCATCTTCCACCCAGATCCTCCAAATTCCAGTAGGCGGGGGTCACACCCACCACCTGGCCCCCTGGCACCATGTAATCCCATCAGCGGCCAAGACTCAGAGACTATAAAATCCAGATCCCGGAACCGCGCAGCCGCATTTGCGGCCGCGCGACATCTTATTATCTCATTCCTACTTTGGACAAACTTGCAGGCTATCGAATGTAGCCTGCCCACAGGGCAGAGTCTGGCAAACTCCCCGTGGCCTACCAAATATGCCAAATACCAGTAACAATGATGGGTCTCATTCTCCTAAAGAGCCGTGAATATAATCTCAGGGCTAGGATGAAAGAGACGTTACTGGGGCCTGCTCGAGGCAATCGACGATTAACAAGATGATGAAATGAAAAATGAAAAAAAAAATTTGTAAATGCCAGTATAAATTGAGAAACAAATCTGAGGATAAAATTCCTGTTTTTTAAAAAAATTTTCAGTCATCATGATTTTTAATACTGTTAATGATGAAAGTGAGGGCTTTAAGCACACAGCATTCCAACCCCTCACTTCTCTCCACCACTGTCAATGAACTCCTCCCTCATTGCTATTTCCTGCTGCGGTAAGCTTGGTTCTGTAGACCAGTTCACAGATTCTATTGTTTGAAGCAAAGGTTTCTCGCTGTGAGCATATGAGAAGACCATTCTGTATAATCCCTCTCCTTTGGGCTGACTTCACCCAGCATGATTATTCTCCAGCTTCACTCACATAGTGGCAAATCTCATGGCCTCACCTTATAGTTGAGTGGCATCCTATTGTTTATGCATACAGCAGTTTCTTTATCTACTTATCTTATCTTGTATACTTGAGTTGCTTCAGAATTTTGACCATTATAAACAGTACTTCAATAAACATAGGAGTGCAAATGCCTTTTCTAAATAAGAGTACTTGGGCCCCTGGGATAGATACCTGGAAGTGGAATTGCTAGGTCATATGAGAAGAGTTCATATTGTTTTCTCAAAGGGTTCAACCAGGTGATATTAATACCAGTAGTGGATGTTCTTTTTCCCCCTCGTCCCCAGTGCTTGCTCCTTTGGTTCTTTGTGATGTGTGCTAATCTTACTGATGTGAGGTGACATCTCATTGTTGTCTTGATTTGCATTTCCCTAATAATTGGTGATGCAGAGTACTTCATATATCTTTCATATATCTATTGGTCATCCACTTGTCTTCATTGAGGATGTTTCCTCTCCCCATTTTTATCTTCATAGAGGATGTTTATTCTCCCCATTTTTGCATGTTTTATTTTTCTTGTTCGTTTTTATAAGTGCTTGATATATCCTGGATATTTACTACCCATTTGTTGAATGAGTGGTAGATAAATATTTTATCCCAGTGTGGGGTATCTTATTCTGATCATTGTTTTTTTTTGTGGTGTAGAAGCTGCTTCTTTTTTTTATTTTTGGGTGACATCTGGCGATCCTCAGGGGTTACTCCTGGCTTTGCACTCAGGAATTACTCCTGGTGGTGTTCATGGGGGCCATAAGGGATGCTGGGAATTGAGCCTGGGTCAGCCGCATGCAAGGCAAACACCCTATCCGCTGTACTATTGCTCCAGTCCCAAGCTTCTTAATTTGATGTAGTTCCACATGTTTATCTTTGCTTCTATTTTCTTGGACAGTGGCACTGACTCACTGAAGATATCCCTGAATTCAGAGTCATCCAGAGATCTGCCTATTTTTTCTTAAGTATAATTTATGAATGTAGGTCTGATATCAAGGTCTTTAGTCCATTGTGAACTGACTTTTGTGTATAGTGTGAGATGGGAATCTGAGTTCATTTTTTTTTAAACATGTGGTTGACCAGCTTTCCTTGTTCCACTTTATACGCTTAGCTTTGCCAAAGATTAGTTGTCCATACTCCTGTATATCTATCTCTGGGTCCTTAATTCTATCCCATTGGTCTAAGAATCTGTGCTTATTCCAGTACCACAGTCTCTATTATTATGTCATTTTAGTATAAAGTTGAAAGCTAGCCACATTACAGCACATAATCAAAATGTCAAAGTTAATCAATTTTAGAAACAATTTGTATGTATAAGGAAGTGTAAATAAGAAAGGCAGCCTATTTTTCACCAGAAAAAGATTAGAAGAGTATGCATTCATACTATTCAAAGTGTAGAAATAGAAAAAAAATTAGAATTCTCTGGTTGGCAAAGTTACTGATGAAGAGATAAAGCTTCTCAAATAAGCAAATTTTAAAGAAGCTCCTTGCCTCTGTACTAGTCCTATAATTAAATATTAAGAGGATATCTTTCTGTG